CGAGCGTGAACGATGTGCAAATGACTTTGGGAGCGCTCACCTTGTTCAAAAAGATTTGTTCACAGAGCGTTTGCCAATTTGCATTGGGGCTGCCTTTGATTCCCTCTTAATTACAGTTCTGTCAGCAAAGTGCCTTGTGATTGCAAAAAGATGTGAGTCAGAGATGCCCCGAAGGGGTTACCTAAGCAATGTCGACTGGGCTGCAAGACTGTGGAAGCTCTGAAAGCTAACCCTTGAAATCGCACTGCTCTCTGCCCCTGACTGTCCCAAAACCAACCCTAAACCCTAAACCGTACCTTTGCAACAGGGACCCTGAAATTTGCGCATGTTTGTTTGATGTTGCTATGGGTCCCATTCCTGGGAGAACCAGTCACATGAGCTATAGTCTCAACTCCTTACAAAGGGTCACATAGGCGATTAGGGTTTGGGGTTAAGGGTTTAGGTGTAAACATTTCCAAGGGCGGATACATAGTGGAGTATTATGCTGCGGCCTTGGTGGTAGGGGTTCTAAAAGGGAGATGAAAGGAGTTCAGGCGATATTTCACATGACTATGATGCAAATGCCAATTACGTGCTTTTTGGACGGCCAGCATCATCAGCATCATTGGGTCTCCGTTTCTCCGCACCCCCCCCTTTAAGCAAACGACTCTGCCACGGTTGCTTGCAGTCTTTGTTGAGTATGCAAGTACAGGACGGCCAGGACGTAAATCAACATCACATTCTAGGCGAAATTTGTGCTCGTAGGTGCCCCTTTACACGTTGCTTGCTGTGGCACATGAAGGAATTGCCGTAATTCTAGCGAGTCGCGCTTTTGATTGCAGATGTAGGAACTTGGCGCTTGAAGTTTGATGTGCCGACACAAATGAAGCTTTGGCATAGAATAGATTTTTTTGCTAAGGATTTTGCAGAAAAATGTGCGGGCAACTACATGCCGGTTTAGCCATGGGCTTAACCAAGGGTTCTCAATTCTGTTTCGATGCATTGTGGCAGATCTAACTAACTTGTTATGCTGCAGAACTAAGGACCTTGTTGTGCCAACCTGGCAATGCACAATCAGAGTATTCTTAGACGCACATACTAAAAGACAGCATGATGTGGAAAGATTTCACTTTACATAAGTTTGTGCCCTATACGTGTTTTCGTCCAAGTTTGGCATGAACCTGATATCGTTACAACTTACAATGTTCACGTCTGTTCTTCGGGTTTCTGGGCTCTCGTACGCCTTATCATGACATGTTCACACGCCGTCATGCGCTGAATGTGTGTTTGACAGGACGTGTTTCGCAATAAAAGTTTGCCAAAGTTCTTCCTTTAAGAAAAGGCGTTGGGTGCGTTGTTCCGGAGGCATGGTAGGCTAAAGATGCATTTCTTAGCCTCAAGGCGTCAATTTGGGATGACAGGGGGTTTTGACGTGTTTTTGAATTTATTGTGTTTATTGTTGTTTGTCTCTCTCTCTCTCCCTCTTTCTGTCTGACTCTCTCCGTCTCTCCCTCTCTCTGTTTCTGTTTCTCTGCGCCGCACAGTTGAGTACCAGATCCCTGCTTGGCCACGTACCCGGAAACCTAGCTTCATGACTGAATGCCCACGAGCACTTACATGAGTATCCCTTCTAAATCCTGGACTGCGAAGTGGTTTTGAAGGCGTGGGAGTGGGCCCTCGGTCCTTTAAATCCAGCCTAAAGTCTTCAAGTCAGCAATCTACTACGCAGGTGTTTCTACTCATGCACCTTCAGAGCTTGGTAGAGTCGGAAGGATTTGTTGGTAAGTAGCGCAGGAATGTACAATTGTTTTGTTCTACGTAATATTGGCGCTCTGCGTCCACAAGCAAAGCCATCCGCGCCGCTGTCACTGTTGGGCTGCTTCAACATGAAGAGACGAACGTCGCTACGTCCGCTTAAGTCATTCAGACCACCACCTGTAAGTACGCACATTTTCAGCCCTGACATCTAGGGCCCGGTACGACCTGGTATGCAAGGTAACTACGAGTGCCCGCCTGGATACTACGAGCACGGCACGGAAGAAGTTGGGGGCAAATGCAAGTCAGAGGCCAAGATTTGAACCTTTAAGTCCGCAGGCATGTATCCCAATGCAGTTTTGTGCTTGCGGTCAGTTTGAAAAGGCTACATGTAGTGGCGCGGTTTTTCGGGTAGTTTCTATCTGCCCAAATACATCTTCACATCCATGGTGATGGCAGAGGATGTCTGGTGATTTCGTTGACCAACAGTGGAAACAGATGTAGGTTTCACTCTAGAAATGCGGATTACTTGGAGATGGGTTCAGTGTAAAGGTGACTTTGCAATTCTGAATTGTCACCACTCGCCCGTTTGTGGCACAGCACGAGTACGTAGCGGTTGCACCACAAAAGCTCCAGATTGAAACCTTTCCTTTCAATCCAGTCTGTGCATCCTTACCATGTTGAACGGTTGGAGGGATTTGGGTGTATGCGGTCTTTTTGTCTTACAGGATTCGGGGCCTGCTGACAGATTGCGAAGATGATTCAATGGCGACAATTGGAGAGTTTTAGCCAAAATCCAAGAGCCTAGAATACAATGGTTAGAAGGAATGCGTTGCAGAAAGAAATGCCTTGGAATCATTTAGAGTAATCTCATGGTGCTCAGAATTCGCGTGCCCATGCATCCCGTGCGGTCTTCCATGTGCCAAGCCGCCTGATGTCAAGCGGTTGTGGACAAAATTCTGGATAGGCCATGCATATTTCGATTCAGAGCACAGGCCCCCTAGCCCGACAAGGCAATGTCTTGTGTTTCAGGCATCTGGAGGCTGGGTTGAGTACCCTAAACCCTAAACACTAAGCGAAGAACTTACATTTTGCCCAGGCTTTGCTCTGACAACTGCATGGAGTGCTCGGGAGCACTGGTGTCAAGCCCTCAGCTGCTCAGATGTTTGTTTTGTTAGTTGCCATTCATGTTCATAGCCATGTGGGTAGCTCCCAAAATTAGGGTCCCCTTTGGGTACCCCTACATATTAGGTGCCGCAATATAATCCATAACCAAAAGGGGCCCACAATTTTGAGAATAACCGTATTCGCCATTGTGTGAGATAGCAAACGCCCTGTTGGTGACCTTGGTGGCCCTGAACAGGCTTTGGAAGTAGAATCCTTCGGACATAAAAGCCCAGAGGCCAGAACTAAAGACACTAGGCCGCTGTCAGCACCATGAAGTTTTGCACGCTCATTGTCGGGACCCGCTGAGCCGACACAAATAGCACACGCCTCACGTTGGATATCAGACACAAAGCAGACCGTGTATGCCAGGCTTGAGGTCGTGCGTGTGTAGCTGCTCGGTTTTCCAAAGGTGCGAGGTCTGCAAGAACAATTACTTCCTGGATCCCACAAGCAGCACTTGCAAGACAGAGTGCGCGGCCCTCAGGTGAGAGGTGGCCATAACCAGAAGCGCAAGATGTTAACTAATACCTCAGCGCAAGACTTCCTGAAATTCACATGCTGAACAAGTTGGCGTGCTAATACCTAGGCACGCCTTGCTATGCGGAGTCATTCATAATATCCTACTGAGCTACCTTCCATCAGTGAGTTGAATCTCGAGCCTAAACTGCTCAACTTGCATCACTGAACTGGTAAGTTTGTCGCAGCTGAAGTGGCTTCCAACCCCAAGCACCATAGTCCCTATTATGGAGAACCAAAATCCTACCCCCCCATTAAGGGAACCCCTAAGCCCCATATAGCCCCTGTGTAATCGCTTTACCCCTGAATGACGCGGGCTGGGGATTTGCATCAAAGCAGTTTAGCTTGATGGCTAACCCTAGGCTCGCAGTTACCTAAATAGTAGGTTACTGGTAGGGTAGATAGAACCCTGAACCCATTCTTTAGGTAACTGGAGCCCTAGGGTAAGGGATTCGGTGTTGTTCCTATAGTCTCGTTTAGCCCAGGGTAGACAATGCATGGTCCATGTCGAGTTTGCACATCCTGTCGCCTGGAGGCTGTAATCCGCAACTCAAAATTTAGCGGTGAAGGCTCAGGGGTTTAGGGTTTTTGGGCTCCCGTATGGTACGCCATGTGCCATGTAAGCTGCAGTTGTACCTGCTGGCATTTTGACAGGAAGGGTGGGATCATGCAACCGTGGGGTCGAGGCCACTGATCACTACGTGAACCGATTCCCATGCTTACTTGGGATTAGTAGGGAATAAGGGACTATATTATGTAGGGATAGAGGCGCTTTATATCCTGTATTCCTTACTAACCAACAGTAAGCATGCAAATGTTCTGCTACGTAAGATTTTAGTGACCACTCCAGCTTAGGCATAGGCGGGTTGGCGAGTCAAAGCTAGCAGTGCGAGAGCCTGGAACGCTATCCCTATGCAACCCCAATATAACTTCCTAAACCCCTAAACCCTGAATAGTAATTTTCATTTCATTTTTCAGCATCCCAATATAACCCCAATACAACCCCTTCAAAGGGTACCAGGCGGCAGCTGAGGTTGGAAGGTGACGTGCGCAGGGTTCATGAGCATCAGGTATCAAATTCAGGGTTTTGATTCTGGGGCCCCAAACCTTAGCACCCTAAACTGTAAACCCGAAACCGCGCAGATTCTGGGATTCGTGATTTCATGTGTCATGAATCCGGCATGCCGGCATGAAGGTCGGGGTATAATCAGTGTAATGTGATTGTCATTTCAGCCTAGTAGGTCTAGGGTTCTCAACCTTTTAGAGGATTCCCAGGTCTATTTTGGCAAACAACTACGCAGGGTTTGGAAGTAGATGTGCGTACAGTAGCTCGCAATATCAACTATCAGGGTGGGCTCCGAGCGGCTGGAGTGACTGCGCTTCTTCTAGCAAGCCTCAACAGACCGGCATGTGCATGATCGATCTAATGCAAAAAGCACCAACTGTTGCCAGGAAATCTTCACCCGCCGCGCTTCTTTGCATTTAGCCGCATTTTTACAAGACGTGAATACTCAGGACGCAGCGCAGGGTGTGAAACACAACCTTTTTGTTGAGACCTCTCCATTTGCACACAGCTTGCGGAGGCCCTCCGGGATGGTATCAGAACGTTCCGAATGAAGCGGTTGATACGGGACGTGCCTTGACTGATACTTCAGTAAGAATGGTTGCTGGATGTTTGGCAGTGAATCTATAGGGCCTGCCTCACTAATTGCTGGAGTTCTGCGTTTCTAGGTCTTTGAGAAGGCGAACTATGCGCTTGTAGTCTTTTTTGCTATCAAATTGTTTTGTTTATCGCTGCCATCTTTCAACCGAAGCACAGGCACATAATTTTGGCATATCGTAATACACTACTTCCAGGGCATGATGGGGTGGATTGCATTGAGGACGTGGATGGATGGTTTCTGGTGGCCTCACAGTAGCAGTGTTTTGGATTTGTTGGTCATTCCCTCCCCCTAATATTATATAACCCCGCCACCCCCCTAATATTCCATACTCCCATTATGGGGTATATTCTAATATATTGGCAAATTTAATGCTAGGGAGGTGGGCGGGGGGTTTAACGTTACGGGGAGGGGATTGCAGCGTATCACGCCTTTGTAGCATTGTTGGAATTTGTAGCAGTGTTGGAATGCGACTCGGGCAGGCGCGCACATAGGTCTGTCATGTCATCAGACCGTTTAAAGTCCATTTTGTTCAAGCACATCTTATGGAAAATGCAGCAATGGCTTCTCAGACCCCACTTTTTTGCGTGCGCTCAATATCATGATAGCCTGAACGCACTCACACTTTCCGTCATGTTCAGGCCCAAGGAGCCGTGTCTCCATCGTTCATGTGGGGATTGTCCTAAATTACTGTCAATACGGGGTCCTATATTTAGGTTCCTATTATAATACGGGGCCCTATATAGATTTCCCCCATTTTGGGAACAGCAATTTAGGGAAACTCCCATGTAAGAGTCGTTATCCTCTTTCTGACAGACAAGAACTTTGCCATCAAACAGGATATCTTTCGCATGCATAAACACACACATGCCAGATTCTCGGGGAAATGAGGGCTGACCATGAAGAGCAACTTGGTAGTTTCCCTAAATCGGGGGACCCCAATGTAGACCCCCAAATACCCCTAAAAAGGTACCCCTGATTTTGGGCAACCACCCCCCCTTCCGTCCTTGATTGAGGTACGTGCGAGCAATGCCCAGCGCCGTGCAACAAGTGCAACACTGCGGCTGAATGCAACTTGGAGACCCAAAGTAAACCGTAGATGTTATGTAGGGGTTATATTAGGGTTATATCGGGGCTATATTGGGCTTATATTGGCGTTATATTGGGCTTATGTTAGGCGTTATATTGGGGTTATGTAGGGGCTATGTAGGGGTCATATTGAAGTTATGTAGGGGCTACGTAGGGGTCATATTGGGGTTATGTAGGGGTTATACTGGGGTTATGTTGGGCTTACATTGGGGTTATACTGGGGTTGTTTGGGGTTATATATTCGGGTAAGTTCCAGACTCATGGATACAACGAAGGCCCAAAGCAGTTGTTTTTGAAGGGGGTCTCTGCAGGGTTTTGTGGTGGACAGGGTGAATTGGTTCTGATGAGAAGCTTTCGAAATTGGATTTTGGAATTGCATTCTGGGGTACGGCACTGTTTCAAATTCTCCTCTTTGTTCCTGACTCTGGTCATCATTCAGAGCATCATGACAGCAAAACCAGTGTTCATCGAGCTTGCAGCACATTTCATTTTCCGTATGCTTACAGTTCCTGAAAGACAACTTCTCGGCAAGGGCCTTGAACTTTGACGCAGATTTTCTGATGAAAGCCTTGCGCTTAATCCCCATGAGCAATTTTTCAGCCACAGGCAAGACCTACCCTTAGGGTCCAACGACCCAAACAAAAAGAGGTCCCTTTAAGGGAGTTATAGGGGGATATATATATGTAGAGATATATGGGGACTATATGAGGGTCCAAGGACCCAATAATAGGGTTTTAGGGCCCAAATACTATATTAATAATAATAATAATAATGGTATTTGTGCCCTACAACCCTATTATTCGGGTCCTTGGACCCTTAGCTCTACATATTGGTTGCGTCTTCACTGCTATTATGACATAACTTCGGGCAATGGTGGTATATGACCTTGGGGGCGGGGTTTGAACTTAAAGCTTCGGGCAAGTTTTTGCGCATGGTTAGCAGTTGTGGATAATGTTATTGGCAGCGCCACTGCGGCCGTTGCCGCTGATTTTGATAGTGCATCGTGAAGAACCGACTGGCAATGCTGCCGTCTCACAGCCCTCCTCAGCACTCACCCCTTATCCCTGCAAGGACCCTGAACAAGGGCTCGAGACAAAACGTACCCTTCATTCAGGCCTAAGTCCTGGTTGTGCGGAATTGCACAGACCTTTTTTTTCAGAGGCCTACTGTTTTGAATTGAATTTGCGGAGGTTTAGGGTCTGGCCTTACCTGAAGGGTTCTGCGGAGTACATTCCGCTGGGGCCAAAATCAAAATCTGCTCCTCCTCCCTTAATGTTTGGAGTCTTCTTGAGCCTGCGTTTGAAGGATTCATGTGGAGCTATTGCACCCCCCTGAGATCATGAGGATTCACGCTAGTGACAAGAATTAAGCATCAGTGTCAGAATCTTGCCGTCACACCCAAGGCACGGAATGCAAAGATTCTGCGTTCTTGACGCCTTTCAGCACGTGCGAGCGGCCCTCAGTGTGCGGGTGGCACAGAAGAGGGACCTTGTAAGGATTCCAGTAACGGTAGGTACCAAGGTAGTACCCTTTGTCCCTTTTTGTTTTAAGGTATCCATATTAAAGCTAACAGTTAGGAAAAAGGGTACCCTTATGATTGAGGGGTAGCTGGGGAACCTAGTCACAGTCATGCTGGCAGGTTTGAGATCTCGACAATGCCGGTAAACAACTGGGTAGTTCTGGAGGGTTATAGTCCCCCTTAAGTAGATAGGATATGGCTTTGGGTATATCATAATAAGAGCCCCATATACTCCATATTGTATCTACTTAAGGGGGACTATAGGCTTCAACAGTGACAAAGCTGAACTGACAACGGCGCCCTGCGACAAACTCGGACAAAGGCTCTGCTCTAAATTTTTCCAAGTGCAGCACGCCTTTGTCTAAACCCTAAATCCTAAACCGCGTGCATGCCTTTGCATTTTGTAGCTTGGGATGCAAAACTCGTGCTGCCCATACATGTGGCGGCTTTGGTCCACCCAAAGCGGCATATAACTCGTATAACTCCTATAGTTGCCATGTTCTTTGCCATTATTCCGTCTTACCCCTATTTAATCCCTTTAACCCTACAAAAATTCTATATAATCCTTTTTTTTATCCCTTTAAAGCCCCATATATGGAGAACGCAATCTCCCGGTCAAGATGGTGGCGCTTTCCCACCCAAACTACGCTTTGTGTCCTCAAACCCCAAAGTCAGAACTATGGGGTACTGGGTATGGGCATTGAATCTTGTGGTCCTTATAGACATATTACATATCTTAGGTGGACTCCCACCCTGTAATTGTGACTATAAGTGAGCATATTGATTCTACTCGGGGTCATGTTCTATTCCTTTTCTACCACTATTACAGGGTGTCCTCGTAACATATACCCTAGAAAGCAATACAAGTCCAATTAAGGGCCCACACCTAGGACGCAAAAAAACCGGTAGTTAGGCGCCCATAATACGCGCGAATAGCGAGGACAGTAGACAAACCCCACGCTCAGGAATACACATGCCCGCCTGGCCTCTATCCCTTCGGCGCGGGGGAAATCAACATCACCTGCTTCTCTCCTGCAAGCTCTATGTGGGGTCAAAATTATTAGGGTTATATGGGGCTTATATAGGGATTATGGAAAAGAAAATGCAAACTACTATATTATAATAAGGTATATATTGGGGTTATGTGGGTGGTTGTCAAAATTATGGTCGGTTTTTGGGGTACCCTAAATATTAGGTGCCGTATTATAATAGGGATCCAAACAGGGACCATTATTTTGACAACCACCCATGTTCACGTCGCGCGCAAGGATAGTGGCGGGTCCATCTAAGTTTCAGTTTAGACAGTTTTTTTGGGGGCTGGCCACCATAGATTCAAGCAGCGCATGTGGGCCCTATTCGGAGGGTCCATGCCCGCCCATCGCCGCATAAGTATAGTTTACCAACACGTGCCCGACAATGGTAAAGAAATCTAAGTGTTATCAATTGTACAAATCTCCATCGGTGCATTAGAGTCAGTATACCCCAGGTAGCGCCTACAGATTTGCGGATTAGGCATCTTTCCGGGCCGACTTCATGAGGTTATGACTTTGAGGCCTGGCCATTATTGTATTTCCTAACTCTAGATCTATAAATGGATGCAACTTGAACCTCTAAAAGTCTGCCGTCTGAACTGTCAGACCTATGCCCCAGACCCCATGAAGCCACCGTCCAGGAGCCCTGCAACTCCCTACGCCCGCAAGTAAGCTGGGAAATCCAAACCTTTAAGTCCAAGCATTTAGGGAAACTACAGAGATTATTGGGATTATATAGGGGTCATAATATATAGGGATAATGGAAAAGAAAATGGAAACTACTATTCAGGTTTTGGGGTTTAGGGCTTAGGGTTGAGGGTATAGTCCCCCTTAGGTAAGTAGATAGACCATGGGGTACATGGGGAGTCCAAAGGCCAGCCGTGTTCTCCCAACTGTGACACCTGTGACACCTACGAGGTGTGCAGCTGCCTCAGTGGTAAACAGCTTGGGGGTTAGGGCTTGAGGGTTTAGACAGCTTGGGGTGTGTCGTTTTTGGGGTGTAGAGTGGGCAGGGTTTTCATGGGATTTAGGGTGTGTGAGGTGGGGCATTCAGGGTTTAGCTGGGACATATACATGTACAATGTGCATGGCACGGGGCTTGGGTTCAAATGGAGGCAGGGTCTAAGGTGTACGGGGGTTGGGGTTTAGGGCTTCAGAGTTTTAAGGTTACGCGAGCTGGGCCTTGGGTCAGGCATTGCTTTGCACAAGGTTTGCGCGCTAAACCCGAAACCCTACACCCTAAAACTTAGACCCCAAAACCTGAACCTTAAGCCGCGCGATTGTTCGGAGGGGCTCTGGGCCGAGTGAGTTGGGGATTCAGGACAGGAGCTTATAGGGTTTGGATAAAGTACTCTGAGCAAACCATCTCTGCTGGATGACGGTATCTGTCTTCCTGGACCGTCCACCTAAGCTCTGTTTAGGCCAAAGTACCCAAATTAAGGACCATATATCCCGAGTTCAAAGTACTAGGACTAGGAGGGTGTTGGTTAAAGTGTGGAGAAGATAGGCCGGGGATTAGGCGAGTGAGCGGGCTGCTGGGCACAACGATGTACCCCATTTGTGCAGCAGCTTCGTTTCATATGAGGTATGTTTCAGAACATCTCGACCGTGAGAGTTACTCACAAGCAGGGAAACCCACGTGAGGCCCGAGGCCATTCTTACTCAAACGCAGTTCTCTCTTGAGGTTTGAGGGCTTTTGCAAGCTGCGTTTGTTTCAACGGGTCCCTGCCCCGAGGATCCTGTACCAGAGTTAAGCTTCAGGTTCATTTGCTTTTAGGTCTCCTTTCCCCAAGCAGTCAATATGGCACATAGGACAAGAGGGCGTCCCATCCATTGAAATCGCTTGCAAACAGCCCTTTTAGGCCATGCGGTCACTGAACGTAGCGACAGCACACATATGAACCCTGTTTTCACACACGTTTGTACATGCGTCTGTGGTTTAGGGGGCGCCGAACCACAAATTTACGAAGTGCTTATCATACTGAGCGATGTTAGTCCCATCATCTCACTAGCCAGAAATCTAGGGTTTCTGGAACAAATTGAGATGACTGCTTGCATTGCCCTGCACATCCGCCGACGTTCACCTTCTTCCCTAGGCCCCCGCGCCCTTACCACATTTAACACTAGCGGGCCCAGGTACCGCATGCAAGAACGACAAGTTCTTGAACCCAGATGGGTTGTGCAGACGGCTCAGGGTGGGCTCATGTGGCTCAGTCAGGGTTTGCAGCTTGTGGTCAAGAGTCTTGGCAAGCTTTATGTAAAGGTGCTGCCGTCACAAAAATGATCGAGGGAGGCCGATGATAATGTAGGATGAGCAGATCCGTTGGCTAGGTGTAAACCCAGGGGGGAGGAAGACCTCGTTTCCGCAAGAATCCACTTTTGAGAATGTCGAGCGTGTTATCTGAGTTGACCGCGCCCCCGCTGCTACTACTTTCTAATTTTGCTGCTGCTCCTACACTGCCGATACTCCTGCTCCTGCCGCAGCAGCTGCTGCTGCTGCTGCTGCTGCTGATTTTCTCCTACTCCCCTTGTACCTCGCAAGCTTTATTGTATCGCATAACTGTAACAGAAGAGTCGAGGCTCAACATCCTGAGACCCAGGTCGCGATATTTGCCCTGATGGCTATTGGCAGCTTCCAGTCCCCGGTGGCGTTGGGAATTCTTGTCCTCTATGTGCCTTGGGCCATTAAGGATTTAGGGTTTGGGGTCTTACCCACAAACCCAATACCCCTTAATTAAGGAATATTCCTTAAATCATATTAGGGTTTCAGGGTTTTGAGCACATTAGGGGTGAAGACGTTTTGGAGATATTCCTCCCGCGGACTTCATGTTTATAAACGTTACGTAGCGGATATGTTCGGACAGCACTAGACCTTCTGTCTTTATCTCTTTATCTCTAAGAGATTGGGGGGGGCTTACAGTTTACGGTGTTTCACTTAGCCAAAGTTGTGGGTCCTCTGCCCGTTTTAGTATATCGTGGGCTGAGACAGCTCCAAATACATGTCAGCCATTGCCTAAACTCTTAGTATCCCCTTTAATAACCCCTATTATAGTCTCCTAGTTAATCCCCTGTATAATCCCGTTTAAGGAGTTTTGACTCTAGCTCAATGTAGCTACAGATGAGCTGGATAAGGATCTCTTGAGTTTGGTGCGGGCTTAGGGGTTTAGTGGGAGGTGACTGTTGTTCTTCCCTGTGCCCGCGCGCATGGGGCAGGGATTTGTAGTGGGTGCGGCTCATAACCTGTAAGTTGCAGCCTAGCACCATTCATGCCTATGTCTATCCCCGGGGAACCAAGTAGCCAAATGTAGGTAACAGTTTCAGACTTGAGGGCCCAAGGTGGGTATTATTTGTTATACTTGGATCCCTATGTTACGTACCCTTATATGAACCCTATATAACCCAGACTTGGATCCCTAGGGTATGATGCGAGTTCAAAAGAGCAAGTTACCGGTGCTCTCATCCCATCCAAGCTGAACATATAGTCCCCCCCCTGAACTAATTATAACATGGGGTATATGGGGATCTTATCATAATATACCCAAAGCCATATTCTAGGTGTGCAGATCCCTACGGGTCCAAGGACCCAAATATTAGGGTTTGAGGTCCCAAATTCCCAAATAATCTTCAAACTATAGTATCCCCCATTGTTGGCGTCCTTGGACCTTAAGAGATTGAAGAGTACCAAACTTGGCCTTATCTCGGACTCACGTCCTCCCAGACAAAGCTTGCACCTGAGCCTTTCAGAGTTCAGGGTTAAGGGTTGAGGGTTTAGGAATTCCTGAACCCCAAAAGTATGCAGAGTACTTGCCTTTTGGGCTATGTTTAAGGGTTTTGGGCTATCATTTTACCTACGTTTGGGGGTCCAAACATTCCTTCAAGCTCAGAAGCTCTATCTGGTAGTTTTCCTATGTGGGGGACCCCAACAGAGACCCCCCAAGAAAGGTATCGTCCTTATTCTTGGGACCCCAGAGAATGTACCCCTAATGGGAAACCCCTAAACCCTAAACCCTATATATATATATATATCCCTATATAACCCCCGAATTTAGTGGAACCCCCATCTCTAGAACAGGCGACTGAATTGTAGCCGCGGTGAGGTAGATGGGTAGCGTTTTTTTCCTCGTGCTGCGCAGGAGTTTGAAGCAAACCTGTTGTAAAAAGTTTGGGTGGGCAGTGTTGTAGCTGGGAAAGCATTTAGGGTTTAGGGGGATTAGGCTTAGGGATGTTTGTATCCTATTGAAAGTCCTACATATGTTAGTTTCCCAAAATTACGGTACCGCTATATGACCCCCAATATACTATAGTCCTTATTATAGGGATCCCCAAAAGGGTACCCCAAATTTTGGGAAACCCCCAGATATCTCAAGAACTCCAAAGAGCTTTCCGGCCGCCCTTATCTGAGGCCCCGTGTCTCGTAATGATTCCTGTGAACATAAGTTTAGGATTTAGGGCTTTGGGTTTAGGGTATAATCGATTTCGCAGCTCGCCAGTGACGTCGTGGAATTCCATACCCTTCCACAAGGCACGGCTATCACCCGAAACCCTGAGCACCTATGATCTCACTGAGTTTTGTAAGCACAAAATCCGTGAGTGTTCAGGTGCTGAAAACTGCAGTCTTTGTACCGCACCAAAGATCTGTCAGGACTGGGGATTCGGATTTAGGGAGTAGGATTTGTAACGTTCAGGCCGCACGAGGTAGAATTTGTAGGATAGGGCTTCAAGTTTAGGACTCGGAAGATTCGGCTTAAGCGATCAGATTTAGATTCTGCGGCTATTTTGCAGCATTTACTATTTTTTCAGGGCCGGGGTTCAGGATTCAATTTCAGAACCGGGTTTGGACATGTTTGTGGGGAGGGTTTCTGGTGTGTGTAGGGTTTATATGGGATTCTTTCCCTGGATTAGAGGATAGTGTCTAGGATGTCAAGATCTGAACTTAAATTTCGGGCCCAGGTTTGTTGCGAAATTCTTTGCCCGAATACCCTAAACCCTAAAACCTAAACCCTAAACCGTAAATAAGAGTAAGGGATTAATTTCAAGGCTTGGCCACCTACCTGAACCCCAAAAGGTATGTAGAAGAATGGCCTTTTTGGGGGCTATTCTTAGGGTTCTCAGGCCATGATTTTACCTACTGTATGACCTAAGCTGTAGGCAGATGGACTTACACGGGCTTCGTCGTTATCATGCTACCCTAAACCCCAAACCCACTTGTTCCTGGAGATTCAGTCGGGACACCACCTGTATATGTGTTTGCCTCTCTGGTCACCCTATGGCGAGATTAGAACTCAAAGGTCCTGTCATATCGGCTGTAGTCTAAACTCGTACAGGAGTTATATAGGGGATTATATAGGGGTAATGGAAAAGAAAATGAGCTACAATTTAGGGTTTGGGGAAACTCCTTAAAGGGTTATTATATACGGGATTATATAGGGGAGCATCATAGGGGCTATTGAGGGGGATACCAGGAGTTCAGACTAGAGCTCATTGGCAGGCAAGAGGTCTCTATAGCTCTTGGGAAACCCAAAATCCAAACTGTCTCGTGGATGCGTTTTTGCGACTTGTTCCACGGACATTTCCCAAGTATTGCAAATTTGCGGTCGTCAATTGTAGACGGTTATGGTTTTTAAGCAAGAGACCAATAAACCAAATACTGCTGGTGTCCCAGGAAAATCCTCAACCCTAATCAAGCCCGAAGCCTCGTATCCTACTCCCCAAACTGTTATAGGAGAGGGTGAAGTTGCCCAAGTTCCCACGGTACTGTCCTTAGGAATTACTTTGAGTTCTTATTATAGTATAACCCCAGGGAAGTATTAAACATAGTCTTTTTATTGTAGGTCGAAGGAGACTACAGCCCAACTGCTGACAGGAGTGCAGAAACTCGACCTACTTGTCTCACTACCACTGGTGCGAGGACGAATGCCAAGACGGTTTTTGCCCCAGCATGACCTTGGGTGACGCTTTCAGATTGATGGTTCACAAGCTCAAGGGTTCGGGCCAAGGGTTTGGCTTAGAAAGATTCGCCCACGACTCCAGAAGCCTACAACTTTGAGTGTTCTATCCAGCAGCAAGGGCTCAGGTCGCTTTAGGCAAGTGGAATCAGAATAAAGGGTTTAGGGTTTAGGAATAACCCTACCTAGACCCCCAAAGTTTGTAAAATACTGGTATTTGGTGGTATTCTAAGAGGTTTTGGGCAATTATTTTGCCCGCTTTTGCAGTGCAGCTGCATAATGTATTCATTTATTCCCATATTCCCCATTCACCTCTAGTAAGTAATAGTAATATACATAGGGAAACTGCCTTGTGTCAAGCTTGAGCCTTGAGACTGCGCTCGGGAATGAGATTTGCCCTCAGGTAGAGACTCAGGGTCCCTCTATGAAGCTAGTTGAGCTACCCAGACCCTGCGAGGATCTAAAAATTAGATCCCCTATATAGACCCATTATAACCCTTATATAATCCTCATTTAATTAACCCTAAACCCTAAACCCTAAATCCCATATGGTTCTAGGGGATCTAATTTTTAGATCCTTTTGGGGGTCTGGGTACGGACTCAACTTAGGTTGGGGGGCGACCTACAGGGGAAATTATAGGGTGTTGGGGGGACCCTATTAAGAGGGTTTAGGGTTTAGGGAATTTGCTAGGACTTTAGGCCAGGGCTCAGTTCACCTTTACACGTCAGGTGCGATCCCATCTGCATGCAGTTTGACAGCTTTCGCTGATAAAAAGGCCCCGAACAACACTGAGGCATGAGGATTGAGGCATTGTGTTGATGCCTCGGGAAACCCCAGACTATCTGGATCCCCAAAGTAGGTAAAAAAAAAACAGCCCAATACCCCTAAACATGGCCACAAAAGGCAATTACTCTGCATACTTCTGGGGTTCAGGTAGGAACTTTACACGGCTGCGCTATCATTGTATCGGTGAAGGTCTACTCTTAGAAACCTTCTGCCCGTTTCCCAACCCTGTTTATGGGAGCTTTCATTTTTCAACATACATGTATACCAACCTGAACCCCGCCTTTTGTGCTATTTTTAGGTGTTTGGGGTTATTTGTACGTAGTTTGGGGTCCACAAAGACTGAAGGAAGCATCCGGATCCCCACAGAAGGCTCGAAAACCCGACCTTGCCCCTATCTCGTACTTCAACCTTGTCAGGGTCCTATTAGACTCTTTGAGGCTTGAGCCGTT